AAAAAAAAAAAAAAGAAAAGAAAAGAAAAGGGAAAGAAAAAAAAATTTTAAAAGCCCCACAATCCAAGGTTAAGAAAAAGGAAAGGAGAAAAGCGAGGTGCAATTATAAAGAATACAAAAGTATGTATTGTTGAAAAAACAAAACACTATTAAAAACGAATGTCACATTGATAAAACACATCCTACATCAAAATGGTGGCACACACAAATCTCTTGTTGACATGACATCTGAAAATATAAAAACAAAGTAATTGTAGGGGAAAAAAAAAATCTAAATATGCATTTACATATATAGGGGGAAAAAGGGCTAACAGCCTCACAAAACCCTTATGCTGTCAGAGAAAACTCAAAATTGGCAAGGAATTTTTCTTGCCAGGTTTCCATTTATCAAGACCTGAAGAGATGAGTCACATCACTTGTTATTGGAAAGCGCTGTTAGAACACATTTAGTTAAAAATGCAACAGCAAAATAATGCAAATAGTTCTGAAAAATGAATCATAGAATGGTTTGGGATGGAAGGGACCTCAAAGATCATCTAGTTCCAACCCCCCTGAGAACAGGCAAGTTCTGTTAATAGAATGGTTTTAACAAAGCCTGAAATTATAATAATAATGTCAAATGTTCACAGGAAGAAAAGGTAACTTACACTTTTTTTGCATGAAAACATGACCACTAGAGCTCCAGCATTAAAGCTCTAGTATGAATAGGCAAACATTTATTCAACTATTAAATTACCTATTTTTTTATATCAGGAGTTTAGGAAGTAACCCAAAAAATCAATTAAAGACTATGGCAACATTTTCATTTACTTCACTGAATTCAAGCCCCAAGAGGCTTAAAAATAAATAAATAAATAGGAAAAAAACCCAAGCAAACTAGAAATAGCATGAGTATGCTTATATATTTATATCACTGTGGAAAGGGTGGAAGACCACAGAGGATGAATCGTGAGAAGATTCCTCTGCCTACAACCATGTAACAGTCATACTAACAACATGCAGAAGATAAAATTCAATACAAATTTAAACTATAGTATTGAAAAAGTCAGTAGAACTAATTCTTTTATTCATAATAGTTACCATGTCAAGATTAAAAAGACATTATTTTTAATCTGTCATGACCCTAAAGATGCGGATAAGATTAAGAACATAGCAGGAATACAACATACAGTCTTCTCCTTGAAACTTTCCCTTTTGGAAAAGTAACCAGTACCCAGAGTACAGTTTAAAATATCATCTGACTATATCATAATATTCTATATTCTCCAACACACTAATTTAGATCCCCATTAAGTAAGGAACTACTCCCTTCTTGTTTTAAGGGCTCAGTAAATATTAGCTTTATCACTCTGTGACACTCAATATTCCCTGAGGGCTTCCAGGGGTGTTAGTAAAAATAAACAACATACATACATTCAATTAACAACCAACCAATAAGAGCAGCAAGTAATCAACAGCATGGCAAAGTTCTCTTAAACAGTTTTCCTCTACAGCGCTCTTGAATGCAAAGGAATTTATAGCAGAAAATCATTGACTAACTCCTTTTTAATTTTTCTAATAAATGTTAAAGCTCAAGAAAGGTGTTGGATTACCAGACTAGAGTCCTCTATTTATTCACAGAAGAAGAATTCATCCACAAAATACTAAGTGTAATCATTCAAACTTCTCCACAACAGTGAACAAAGAAGCTATGTCAATGAATATTCAAGTACCTCCACAATGCAAATACTCCCTTCAACCCTAAAATTGTTCTGTCATCCTTGCCATAAAAGATTCTGCATGACAGTTTTGCCTGTAAGGATATGTTGGGTACAGCCTATGTAAAAAATAACCAAAGTTAAATAATGGTTCAGTAGAACCGTAACTGTAAAAATGAACAAGTGATCAGTGACCATTTTAAAAACAAAGATTATGCTCCATTCATAAAATTTCAGCCATTAATGCAGAGATCAGAAGACAGCATGACATCAAGAAGGCCTTGTTCCTCCACATCTCTACTAAGACAACCAGGCCACCAGCTTTCATAGAAAACTTCCCATTAGACCTAGTTTGGCAGGTTCACACGTTTGTTTTAAATACTTCAAAGCAAATGTTTATATGCTGTTCTGAACAGCGATACACTATTGAAGGATGGCATTACAAACTCTTTCCTTTTAGACAAAAAAACGTCTTTGGGTCCTAATACACAGCAATCAAGACAGCAGTAATACATAAAAATTACAGTATTCCAAGTGCAAAATACAATGGGCTATTTGGGAAGGTTTTTTGGAAAAAAAAAATGAAGATGCAATTAAACCTCAAAGGCGAGGCAAGACAATTTCTTGCTTCTATTTTTCAATGTCAACAGCTCACAGTACAAACTGCTGACAAGCTATTCCTAAATACATATTTATTAAATAAATTGAAAAGTCAACAAATTGAAAGTCAAACAGAACAAGCAATGGCAGCCAGCTCTGACTGACTACTCATAAGGACAACACGGAAACTTGTAGAGAAAACCCTGCCAATGACAATTTTTTTGAGTACAATCCTACAGAAGAAAGCTTTCAGAAAGCAATGCCAAAGTATAGTATCGTAGTTGTAAGAAAGAAAAACTAAAACAAAAATTCAGTGGGATGCAAGCAAATAGTTCTGAAGCTATTTCCATTCACATACCAACTTTACCAGCCAATCGAGAAGCCACTTTCCAAAAGGCAACACGTACCCATCCCTTCCCTCACTCCCTTCTAGAACGTCAATGCCCTTCTCCAAGCACAGCAACATTCACTCCTCAGTCACGTCCTATCCCTACTGGCAAGAATTTTTAAGACTGACAAAATTAAGAGAAACACTAGGTTAAATGATTAAATGCTTTAACCAGCATGAAAACTAACTGTCCAACACAAAGAATTTCTCACCATCCAGCTTGGGGTGGGGGAAGTATTCTGTAAACAAAGGAAGTAGTTCTGTCATCTGAAGCTGATGTCTTTTGATCCCACTCCTAACTACTGATGAAACTTTGTTCATTCAAAAAGGGAAAATTATTAAGACTTCTGGACATTAGACATGGATCTACAAACTAGGCCAATCCGCACAGGATACTTGATGCAGTTTTACATTTACAAGACTGAACACCAACAACGTTTTAGTCAGCATTGATGAAGTTTTTGAGCCCATGGGTAACAAGATCCAGAATCGGCCAATGCTTAAAAATCTGGCATCCTAAAAAATCCTAAAGCAAGCAGGACACCACTCTGTATTCCAGCCTACGTTTTCGCTCCTGCAAATGGACACACCAGGTCAAGCATTCACTGTTTCATTTTCATCATCTGTCGTTAAGAGGAAAAGGAAAAGGTTGGATGTTTCTGCTACCATACTTAGTCGTTGCTGCAACAGGTGGCAGAAAGACAGAATCTCATCAGCTTTGCTCCTCCTGCACACCTACTTTTCAGGACCTCCCTTCCCACGAATAGCTCCAAGATTTGCTTCCAGAGGCCCAAAGCCTTTTTCAACAGTAGCAAATCAGAGTAGTTCTAGCTCGAACCAGCATCATCATATACTTCAATGTTAAGCCAATCTGTGCACAGCAAGAGTAGAAATATCTGGATCACAATGTCATTTTTATCAATTCATACTAATACTGCCAATAATTTTAATGGAAAATCATTTTGCCTTGGGAAGAGTTGGTTGATTTAAAACCTAGATGCGTAAGGCTGCTGTATGTATATGTGTTCCTTCCTGTAAACAAAATCAAAAAGCCAACTGCTATTAATAATTGTTTATTTTCATCTAACATTGTCCCCACTTCCGATTTTCAGATCTTTTTCCTAGTTTGTCTAGTTCATTAAAATGATTCTCCAGTATCATCTTCTTACTAACCAATCTTGCCTTCCTCAACTTTTCAACAATTTACCATTTTCTTACCATCTCTATTTTACCCTAATACTTTTTCATATTCTACTCTGTCTCACTTTCATTCCTTCTTCCCTTTTTACTCTTTCTCCTTAGAGCTTGCTCCAGCAGTGCTTATTCCTACCCTTAAAATTCTAAGTATCCAATTATTCATTCAACCACCACAGAACAAATGAATAGACATGCAACATTCCTCCCTTGCCTCATGGATAGAGCATTTCCTAGCTAGTGGAAACATAAACGTTACCCTTAGCTTGAACTGACACCGATTTGGTTTTAAACTGCTACCCACCCTAGCACAGAACCTGAATCATATTGCTTCTAAACAACAGATGAGGAAAAAGAAAGCAAGTCACCTTCAGCCAGTTGACTCACAAAGATGTAATTTTTTTTTGCTGGAAAACTGAAGACCAAACAGCCCCAAATGGCCAAGAGGGAGGAAATAAAACTTTTTTTTTTTTTTTCTCTTTTTTTTTTTTCTTTTTTGGCAGGAGGGGGAGCAATGGAAAGAAGTCAGATGCGAACATCTCGCACTAAACACAAAATGCAATACTTCGAAGATATATTCCATTACTTCTTACACTCCTCCTGCCTGATGATCCTAGCAACAGAGGAATTAAAAAAAAACCAAGGTCTTGCACAGTAAATGAGAGGCTAAGTATGTATGTGTGTAAAGACCAGCTGTGAACCAGATGTGAGAAGCAGGCTATTTAGAGTTGAAAACATATAGACATACACACGTTTCAACAAGCGGAACAAGTAGCCAACAAAGGAGAGGAACCTCAACAATTTAGTCTTCTGAGGTGCTTGAAATAGCACTAGGTACATTTTATCCTTCCATTCCATGACTCAATCACTTCTTTATTTTTACAAGATCTTACAATAAATCTATTATTGCAAATAATTTGCTGCTAGGCCATCAGGATAGCTGGAAGAAGCCTCTATTACAGCATCATCTAGGGGGGACAGGAGGAAAAGCAACCCACCACAGCATAGCTGCTGCTCATGCAAAATAAACCGCGCTTCATTGAAGCACAGGATTCCTAGAGTCAGCAGGAGATTCAGTGAGTGGGAGCTCCCGTGTGAGAGGTAGGAACCAGCAGAAATATACATCGAAACTCAAGAACACTTGAAAATCCATGTTTGGCGAGAGGTCTTGCCACAAGGTGCTGAACAGCAGTAGTGAAAGGATTCCTCAAGTTGAATGGAAAACTCCTGGGGAAGGCTACTAGTGAAACAGCACTTCAGCTGTCAATCCTGTGCATTTATTACACTCTCATCACATAGTCACTTGGAATTGCCCCTCTACTGACTCAGATGAATACAACACCACTTCAGACTGGGTTTAGAATTGCTGAAAACAACAAAAAAAAATGTTTTATTTCTCCACAGAGCACTGCATAAGTAAGTGAGCAAAACCATGCACGTACTTTCATTAAGAGCTTATTTCTGTTAATGGCAGGCAGTTCATTTAAACCACCTCCAAGAATATTTCTACTTTTCATATGAACTGTGAGGCAGGCAGACTTGCAGGAAGACTTTCTCCCTCCTTGCCCTTTCAAAAGTTAATGATAGAGGAAAAACTGTATTCTTCAAACATACAATAAAATGACTACTTTCAGGTGTATCTCACAAAAGGATCCAGGCTACATACGGCAACAGGTATGTTCACACATGTATAGGAAAGATCAGTGCCTATTTTAACAGTTAAGAAAACAGCCTCTCTTTTGCCATATTTGGTCTCTTTGGCAAAATTTCTCTTTTAAAAAGACAAGTATAATTTGTTTATAAACAGGCTTTTAAAAATAGTACTTAATTATGTTTATAATAGGAAAAAAAAAACCAATTGTTAAGTCACAAACAAAAACTAAATTGACCCAGAAGTCTTTCCAAACTCTGGAACAGTAACTCAAACAGATGCAAACTGCTCTATCCACCTCAGGAGGTTATCGGCCCTGAAGCTGAAGTGGGGAGAACCTGCAGACCCTGCTAACCAACCATCCCCACTCCCCGTTTCGGCGGAAACCGCGAATTCACGTGCTCGGCCCCGACCCCGGCCCCTCCCGGGCACTGCCAACCACCGAGAACAGCTTCGGGCCATTCCAGCAACTCCAGACGAGCCGTTACCCGCCACCGGTGCGCGGTCAGCAGCGCACGGGGATCAATGGGAAACTCCATACCAGGCAGCACCGTAGTAATGACGTATATTAGCCGCTCCTTTTATTAAGGCTCAAGAAAATTGGGTTAAAGCCGCATACGTTTGTAGACCAAGCCTCTTCGGGTGCCGCAAGGGTACGGAAACCCCGTCAGGGGGTCTCGCTGCCGAGCAGGGAGCGGACACCGGCGTCGCAGAGCCCGCCTCTGCCGGCCAGCCGGGGAGCGCCGGGGCCCCGTCCCGGCTCTCCGCTACGTCCCCGCCCCACAGACGCGGGGGAGACAAGGG